GTACATTTGTTGCCCTCATCATTCCCCAAACATTTGCTTTCTACTTGCGCCCTTGGTATCAGCTCATTTTCTTTTTTCCCCTCCATCCCCCCTCCCTCATGAATCCTTGATGATTTATAAATTATTATTATTTTGTCATATCTTACACTTGCTGACGTCTCCCTTCACCCACTTCTGTTGTCCATCTCCCACGGAGGAGGTTATACGGAGGAGGTTATATGTAGATCCTTATAATCAGTTCCCCCCAGATTTCTAAAATTAATTAGATTAGCCATCGACTATTCTGGATGAATTATCAGACTTTTCTAATGTGGGTTTATAACAAAGCTGGTGCTTCTAGGAGAAAAACAATAATACCTAAACATAGCCCATTACAGTTAAAGCCATTTCTCATGCTTTTCATTCTACTCTTAGGCCATATTGATAAGGGAATCCTTATGAAGTTGTCTTGAAGCCTTGCAACAAATAAGTGGCAGTAGTAGAATCAGACTCTTAGTAGGATCCATGCATAAGTTGTTTAGACTGAATTTTCAGGTAGTGAGAGTATTGTTGAATGGGGAGGAGAGGAACTGGCCAGGGGAGGTGCGGGGGCGGGGGGAAGGGGTCCTCTGCACATGTTTTAGAATGCATTCTTGCTTTGTTGGAGTAGAGCAGCTTAGGTGTTTGATTGAGGGGGGGAAGGTCTAGAGACTTGGGGACTCCTAATTCGACACTTCCAAATCAAACATCTAATTGGATGGCACATTTCATGGAAGTACAGCTGCAGTCACCAACTTAAAACCTGTAAGTAAGCATTTGTTACACAGCTGTTTACCAGTGTGGAAACACATTTCATACCAACTATAAGTCAGGCATTCGGCTACAGCAGTGTCATGTTTTGAAGAGAGTTTATTTTCTGTGCATGTTTTCTGCTCCGAGTGTCACATTTCTGCTTATGAATATTTTATTGTGATATTTAAAATTCCTTCTAACGTAACTTTCCCAGTAGAGGTATATTGCCCCCAACTTTGAAGCATACAAAAACACTATGAGGTGACGTCCTATGAAATTGAAGAGGGAACATGATGACGTCACAGAATTTTGGATCTGCTTCTTATGTCATCCTCATTCTGGCACTAGAGGGGATCTGTGAGAGTATTTAAAGCAATCAGTGTTTCAAATGTCACAACACTTCTATGATTTAGAATATGATCATAGAACTCAATATTAATTTGAATTTCTGTAAAACAATATTATAACTGACACAAACACAGATGGTTCAACCCCAAGAGCAGACAGTATATTTGGGGGCTCTTTGGGGAACAAGGCAGGTGACACAGTTGTTCTAAGTGCCCACTAGAACAGTGGGCTTAGTCACTTTCTCCTCAGCCTTTGAGGGCATGAGAAGAAAACCGCTGATCCCTCGTGGCTGTGCAGATACCTACCTCACAGAGTTGTACGGAATGGCGGTTTGGTTCAAACTTTGTAACTTAAGAGTTTGTCAAACAGTTGATTCTTTTCAATAAAAGCACTACTATATGTAAAATTTTTTAATTGGTGTTATTTTCCTTTTTCTTGGATACTGTTTACTTTTTGAAACTCAGAACTCTCTGAATGGTGTTCTTCCCCAGTAATGGATGTCCAGTATCTCAGCCATTTCCAGTTCATTTTCTTTATGGATTTTAAAGAATAAAAGGTAGAAGTGGATGTAAGGATAAGTGATTCAATCCAGGCAATCTGGAATTTAGTGTTTAAGGCAGAGCCTGACTTCCCACCCTCGTCTTTTGATGATCTGGATTGTATATTTGAGAACTGACAGTTTCTTTTCTGAGTCTGTGCCCTTCCTCAGGTTTGCAGTACGTCCCTGCCTCCCTGCAACTCAGGGTCCCCCAGCTCTTTCCATTTCACTGAACAGCAACACCTAAACCTGTAAGTGGTTGGGATTAAGAAGAGACACTCGAAGCTTTTAGGCATATAGACACATCCTTTAGTAAAGTTTTAAAACTAGCAGTCAAAAGGGTCCGATAAGTCAACACACCTGTTGAACCCAACACCAGTCAATTATTGGCACCATCCCAGACGGCTTTCCCACTCCTCCCCCTCAAAAGTTATCTTCCCAAACTAGTTTAACATATTTTTTCCTACTTGGAAAAAAAAAACCAGAATATATATTTTCTTTTGTGTTTGATGTCTGTCATTCAAGGGTCCCTGGGGGCGTACTGGTTAAGCACTCTGTTGCAAACTAAAAGGTCAGTGGTTTAATGGCACCCGATTTCTTTCATTCAACATTACATGTCTATGGGTCACCCATCTTGTTGTGGGCAGCGCTTCTCTGATTATAATATTCCACTGTGTGCCTAAACCGCAATTGACACGTTCAACTACACAGGGACATTTGAATTGTTTTTCTAAAGGCAGGATAATGCTTTCCTATAATCACTCCTTGACAGGTAAGGAACAATTATTTCAGATTTAGAAAATGTTTTCAAGGAAAGGGGAGAAAAAAGAAAAACAGACATTGGGTCTTTTAACTTAGTTGATAAGAGGCGGGGAAAACCAAAGAAACATTTTAAACAAGTAAGTTAATTTTTAGGCCACACAAGTGAAATTTTAGTTTTAGGACAGTTTTTCAAAGAAAAGTTCAGTTCATTAAATAAAGATTATATGCAATTCACCATACTAATAAAGTTACCACTTTGAATCAGTACAGGGAACGTCAAGATTATATTCAACAAATAACA